ACTTCTCGGCACGTGTTCGACAAATACGCAAGTCTTTGTGGCAGCACTCGGTTGACATCAGAAAAAATGCAGATAGTCAGACTTCGCCACGATGCTCTTATCGTGGACAGCGTCCGCTATAGCTGGGACGAAGCCAGCGGGACCCTTGTGAAACATTCTCAACACGCCCCTGAGCGGCCGCCCGCGCATGCGCCTTTACATTCACGTCAACCACGACTTCCAGAGTGACTGCGTATTGATCAAAATTTGGTCATTTTGAATAATAATGCACGTAGCTTAGCAAACAAGATTGATAGCTTCGATTGGCTCATTGAATGTCACCAGCCCTCAATTATTTGCGTCACCGAAAGCTGGTTAAATGATTCGGTTTTAGATGTTGAAATCTTTTCCCGGGTTATGTAATTTTACGCAAAGACAGACTAAGTGGTCGTGGAGGGAGTATAGCACTCTTCATCAAAAATCACATTGACTTTTCTTTGCTTCCTGATCTGCCAAACACAGAAAATATATCTGGTGCAAGTTATCGCCGTTCCACCACTGGACACGACGTCTGCAGAGACCGCAACTTGAGGGATTACAATTTCGAAACAGCGTAAATAATAAAAGCAGTATAATACATGGTAGCTGAGTCGATTCCTAGAGAGTAAATCTCTGCCCACGATATAGTATTAAGACTGGTACTTCTTCCAATCAGCTCTGTCTACGTACCTTCCAAGTTGGAGCCTGAGGTAGATATTTGTTTTCTTTTGGCGTCCTCAGTAATATGGGAAAGTGATCACTCCCCCCACACCTATAGGGGTTTTTATTGCGATACCAATTAAAATCGGGTAAAAGGATCGAGGAAACAATGCTAAGATCAATGCACGAATAAGCTTTGTTCGCCAGGATAAAAAATGTCCGTTCTTTCTTATTTAGAATGCATGCATCTGTTGAAAAAATAAAGTTCTCAATCAAGCGGCTTTGCGCATCACTTCTCGAGTCACCCAACAAAGGGCTGTGAGCATTAAAATCGCCAAGGATGATGAAGGGTTCAGGTAGTTGATCCACAAAAGACTGAAATTCTTGTTTCTGCATCTGATAATTGAGGGGAGATGTACACTGAGCAAATAGTAACAAGTTTGTTTAAGACAACAGCACAAACAGCCACTGCTTCGAGGGCTGTTTGTATCTGCAAACCATGATACACTACGCTTTCATCTAATATAATAGCCACGCCGCCTGATGATGCGATTGCGTCATCTCGATCCTCGCGGAAGATAACGTGGTTTATGAGGAAATACGTGTGTTTTGGTTTCAAGTGTGTTTCTTGTACACAACACTTTTGGCGAGTGTTTGTGTAAAAGTTCTTGGACATCATCGCAGTTTCGAAGCAGTCCTCTGGCGTTCCATTTATTTGTGTTTCGATATTGTGTGTAAAGTAGTGCTGTGTGTATGGATTGAGAGTGGCTTATTGTAATTACTGAGCCTTTGGAAGGCCCTGTAATTAGTGTTTTGTCTTTCTCGGAGCAGTCGAGCGGCTCTCGTCCCTCCTCCGAAGAAGTCTGCAGCAGTGGATTAGTAGTGGTGCCCATCACCTCTGGAGAGACACCAGACGGTCGTGTACGAAGGGTAGGCTTCGTCACGGCTTACGGAGTTTTTGTCTTCACCGGGCCAAGGTCAAGGGGACCTCTTTAGCTTGTTTGCTGCCCAGGCTGCTGCAAGGGTTCATAGGGGCCTCCGGTGGGGCCATGTTAAGTGAGGGCAGGGCAACCGAGACTACTCTTTTACTACATTTGAACTTTTACTACATTTTCAGCTTCCCAACCAGCAAGGAGTTCCTCATCTGTCAAATCCAGGAGTCATCATCAGAGACAACACCCTTCACGGTGTTCATTGTTATATGGGCTGTAACTCAACAGGATTGTTCCCGAAGGACAAAAGCTTTGTTAGTTTTTCATATAGCGACTTATCTTTCACTTCAATAAGTTGATACCCACTGGCCATCTCCGTGGCTTTGTAGTAATTTCCAATGGTCTCAATGAGGCATTTTGATACAAGAAAAGGCGAGATGTTTCGTGCTTTCTTATCTGTTCCACTGTAAATGACTCACTTTGGGAAGGCGTCTCGATTTCTCAAAGAGAACTCAAAAGATCCGTCGGTGTGCCACCTTTTCTGGGGGATGATCAGTTGAAAAAGAGGGTTTTTGATCCCATGAAATATGTTGCATGTTCGATAACGATGCCAGTCGCCCACCACCACCGAGCTCAACGAGGAAATCTGGCAGAGGTTGTGGTGTATTAAGCCCTGCCATATCAACCTTACAATGTTACTATAACCGAATATCGAGTACCCAAGGTTGGACAGCCACACAAGATTAACCCAAACCGCCAGGACATAAGTAATAGAAAAAAGAAGACGACAGTAGAGATAAAAAGTGCGAGACAAAGACGAAGATGTAGAGAGAGAAGGAGACAGGAAAAAGCTACTACCGATTTCCCCTGTGTGGGTCAGCCCAGGGATGCCTTCTGCTTGAAGCTGGGGCTGCCTCCGCCAGGAAGCCTTAGAGCCTTAAAGGTCCAATCACCCGGCATCGGCTTTACCCCCAGGATCCCCCTTTCTCCGGACACGACAAAGCCATGCACGGTTAGGTGTGGAAGGGAGTCGAAACCCCCCCCTGCTACCTCAAGTCCGTGGTGTCACTACACACCAAGCACCTCCTCGTGCCCACAGGAATTTCCAGTTGTGTTGATTTTTTAGCTTGAGAGCTTGTGCGAACAGACTGTTGTCTTGCGTAAAATGGTCACTGACTAACTTTAGTCTCTGTAGAGGCAGGGAAGCCGAGTGTCATAGCGTTTAGGCATGCTTTTCGAGCTTTGCTTATGAATTCAGCCTTCTTATTTCAACTGCGCAATGGGCGTTGTTTATACGACTCCTTTTAGCTGTGGTAAAGTGTACATAGGTCAGTTGGGAAGATACATCAATGTTCGTCTTAGAGAGCACGATTCTTCATTGAAATCCTCGGGGGGCATCAAATCTACCGGTTCATTGCAGTGAATGCAGTTGCTATTCTCTTTTTCAGGATACTGAAGTGGTTTTTCTATCTAACAATCAACTCGTGAATTGACGGAAGCTTTTCTTCAGAAAAAAGAGGAGAACAATGCGTCAGCCAGCCTCCGGTTTTGCTGCACAATATAGAGTTTGCTTTCCTATATTATGTTTCTAGATAATCTCTTCTTTTACTTGTGTTCTCGAGTTGCCACAGGTGTACTTTTTGCCGCCACACGCATGCGTTGTTTTTTTATTGCCTGCTTATGTATTCTTCCCTTTTTATTAAATCGTTTAGTTGCGAGAAAGTGCTTGTCCTTTCTTCCTTTCTGTTTATTCGTGCACTCGAACAACAATTATACCATGCATATCCAACTAGCCTAACTTTCCATTCTGTCTTATAATTAACCAAGATGCAGCCAGCTCTCGAAAAGCACGCCCGTCGCGGCTGGCTCTCAAGAGAAGAAGAAGCGCGTGATATTCTTTTCTTCTTAAGGGCGAGAGCCGTTTTTGCTCTCCACCCATTACATGCAGGTCGCAATATGTTTGCATTTTGCTTTATGCACGAGTAGTGGGCCCTTCACCGACTCGCATAATGAACAATTATGGCGTAGTTGGCACTTGACAATTGTACAAGAAGTAGACATTCACAGTTTACAACGGTCAGTGTTAGCATGCAGTCAATTATTCCCTTACGGCACGGTACCGATGCTAGGCTAGTAATTTAGAAGGTAATTGGCACAGGGCCTGACTGGGTTATCGTGTTTTATGACTGAAGGTGAAGCTCAAGCGTCTTCTTAACTTTGTAATTGTTGTGTTTGTATTTGTCTCACGCAATATATATAAGACTCAACGACACCACCTGCACCATATCGGCGAACTGCTGCTGAATGTAATATTGATTAGAATAATTAAATGGCATAGAATGATAATCTTTATTTGCACGACAACATGAACTCTCGGGTAACATGCAAGGCTCGACAGGACATTCCCTTACGATCATTCGTCTGCTAGCCCATCCCTGCAGGGAAAAAGAGACCGGGGGTATATATATAAGCTTCTCAAGCAACTTGCAGCAGCTTTTATCTTGGCCTGTGCCACTTTCACAAAGGAAATAAATAAACAGGTTGCATGAAGCCAAGCAGTCATTGTGGTCACTGCTTTTGGAGCCCCGCGCAAAGCATGTTGGAGTACCACACTCAAGATGGACCTGCTCCTCCTCACACTTCATACATGACCCTTTTTCTGCAAGAAACCATGCAGTGCTAAAACAGGGCCAGAAGTGATGTGTGAACACAGTGCATCGTTCGCAATCGCCGCGAATCACATGCACCAGCCGTGGGAGCAAAATCAGACTACAGCGCCACTACTTCTTACAACCCCCCGCACAGCCCATCTCTTCGGCAGAGCTTTTAAACTGAGTTTATTCTAGTAACGCTGTATAAGAGCACGTAAATAATGTGAACGATGTGGTACAAGGGCACCTTAGCAATCGTTGCCAGGATTGCACTTGCACCCCCTTCTTGGATCTGAGGGCGATTAATGGCAAGGCATAGGATTCAGCTTAGCCGCAAGACTAGTGAAGCGAAAACAAGTCACTAGCTCACGATCAGTTTCATTATTCCAAAACGTGATTGCCTGGCCGGGCTTTAGTACAATTGAGGACACGTCAGACGTGCTTTGACTACTGACAATGACTGAGCTTGCCTTTAATCTAGCCGTTTTTCAATGTCTTTTTTAACAGATACATTTGGCCACTCTGCGAAATAAAGTTAGTTGAAAGTCGGTGCTCTTTCTCTCTACTCTGTCCATTTTTTTTATGTTCGCACGCTATATAAACTTTCCAGTATGCATATTACTAATATGTGTGCTGCCTCATAGTACAGACTTTAATAGCAGGCTACGAAGTTTGCCAGTGATGACTGGGCAGCAGCACATTTCAGGCCTGCTTTTGCTTTTGTTAACTGTGCATGCACCTTGAGAGAGATGGTCTTGAGCTCGGCCAACAGGTACAGGTCCATGAAGTACTCCTGGCAGAAAAGGCAGGCTCCTTTCCGGCGCCCATCGATTGTGGAAGCCTGCAAAGCAATGAATCAGGGTTTATACAGGTTTGGAAGAAAAAAATTCAAGGACATTCCAAAAAGTTTACGGATCACGATTGTAGTTCATGGTAAATGTTATTGGAGAAAACAAGAGATGATCTTTCTGTGCACTTATTGCATAGTTTCACTGGACTAGAAGTTCTGAAGCTCAGTGCAGTCTTTCATATCAGTCTTTATATTCGCATTTTAATGCCAACAGCTTCATTAGTCTTGATCTTCACAGTTTTTTGCAAACTGTTGGATTGCGCTAGGCTAGTGATTGAGGCTAGTGATTGAGGCTAGTGCAAGTTGTGGCATGGCATCTCGCCTGCTCCGCAGTGTAAACAATCCACAGTCCACTGTCCCAGTGCGTGGACTGGATTAAACTCCAAGAGCTGGCGCATCCCGGTGCTTGTTAAATAAAAGCTTTTTGTTACCAGCAAGTCGTGTGGAGAGTCGCATGTTCGCACTCTTAGAGGTCACGACAAAAGTGTTCAGCGTTTTTTTTTTCTTTTTTTTTTTGGCAGTTTGCTAAAAGATATCACCAAAGATGAAGCTAAAACAAAACCTTTTAAACACTAATAGTCTGCAGCAATGACTACATTCACGCAACTTTTCTTCTGTTTTTTAGAGAGCTCAGGATGCTGTAGACATTGTGGCCATCAGCTTATGGCTATTGGCCAACCGAAGCCAAAGCAAGCATACATGCCTCAATATCAATAATACTGGCAGTTTGACAGTGTTTAGTTTCAAAATCATGGCGTTAAGAAACACGATAAGCAATGACCTTTGACCAGGAGCACACTCATCTGCCGTGAATTACCAGATAGTACGATTGGGCCCTGTCAAAATTTCTAATCATCAACAGTTTTCAAGAATTTCGAGGACCTGTGTTCATCCTGTGAATCAACACACAATCAGCCATCTGTTAGCCCCATCAACTGCATCAACCAAAGCTCGCTAATTTTCATCTCGCCACATCTATCTATCCCTGTAGACAATAGGCAACTGGTCATCTATTCTATGCATTACAAAAAGCAACACTCCCTTTTAACCTGAATTACTATGGCAGCCCAGTTACCCTAATGTTAAAAATTTGAGCTGCGGGCAAAAAAAAAAAAAAAAAAAAAAGCCCATGCCTGAATTTGAATGTGCCAGTATATTAAGTAATGTGGAATGAGCTTTTCCATGTGAAACAATTTTCCCCAACACCATCACAGAGTCTTAAAGTCACTGTTCTAAAAACTGGCCACACGTACACCAAACTTAGTTGTAGTCACAAAGCAAGTGACTACAACTAAGTTTAGTACATTCGGTAGTGCATTCGTAACTTGTGTCTAAGAATGTCACAGTGGTGGTCCAGTCAGTTTAGGATCTAAAGCAATTGTTATAGCAAGAAAAAAAAACTGCTTTGGATCATATAGAATATTGTCATGAAGCAGATTTGGATAAGCAGGGTGTCTACTAATTTGCTTTTTCATAATTCCTCGACTTTTCCAAGTTTTCCATGATGATTTGAGGCGAATTCCATAACCGCCACATCTGCTTGGAAAACTCTGTGCACTGGAAACAGACCCTCTAGTGATAGACAAAAATCAGGTGCTCCTATAAAATAAGTAAAAGAATGTAACACAAATTCTCAGAATGCTCTAAGTACGTGCGGTAAATTTGAAAAAAATGTGTATATTTCCACTGATTGTGAAAGGGCAGCGCAGCAACCCAAGGAAAGAAAGACACAAAGTCAAAAAGCGCTAACTAACAACTGATCATTTATTGTCGTCACCTGTGCATATATATGTGCCACAAAAAAAGACAGAAAGGCAATTGTAACGGAGGTAAAAGTAAGATAACATGACTCCTCTCAACTAGATATTGAAAAGGATAAACTTAAACGGATAAAAACATTTTAAAAATTCACGCATGCGTGATGATGATTGATTGATTGATTGATATGTGGGGTTTAACGTCCCAAAACCACTATATGATTATGAGAGACGCCGTAGTGGAGGGCTCCGGAAATTTAGACCACCTGGGGTTCTTTAACGTGCACCCAAATCTGAGTACACGGGCCTACAACATTTCCGCCTCCATCGGAAATGCAGCCGCCGCAGCCGGGATTCGAACCCGCGCCCTGCGGGTCAGCAGCCGAGTACCTTAGCCACTAGACCACCGCGGCGGGGCCCGCATGCGTGATGAGTGAGAAACGCTAGTCTATAACAAAACAGGAGCACAAAGAATAATGATCGACTAAGAAATGGGATTTCAGCATCGGACAAAGATATAGGAGGCCTGCTGATGCATTTGTCACCTGCTGGATGAATGAAAAAAGCCTTGACAATTTCACGCTCTAACTTATCCCTTCCTCTCATTAAAAACTGTGCGCTGCGAAAGTCGAGAGAGCAAGTACTTCGCGATGTTTATCTGGCCAAAATGAAACCTCTGAGTGAGAGAGTGAGCAAGTTGGCTGTTTAATGTTTGGAAGAACCGGAAAGCGAGCACATGAGTTAAAATTAACTGCAGCTAAAAGTTTAAAGAAGCCCACGACAGTTCTACAATGCAGCCAAAGCTGCTAGAAAACATAGAAGTAGCAATATCTCATGGCGTCTGTGTAAAAAGAGGACGCCGGAGCCCGATCAGTTCCGCCACTGGAATATATTCGAGTTCACTATACTGGTTTCGGCACAGGCCGCTTAGGATGTGCATTGGATTAGATTGACCTGTACGTACTGACTTGACTATTTAGGATCTGGATTCGATCGGATCTGATGCAACATGGATTGCTGTCATGCTTTGGCCGCAAATAACACAAACACAAGTAAAAGAATACTCACGACAAACACAAGCCGCTTGTGCTTGTCGTTGAGTGTTCCTTTACTTGCATTTGTGTTATTTGTGGCCAAAGCATGTCATTAAGCAAGTACCAACTAGGCCAACAATCAGTATTGTTACCATGAATTGCTGTATTTACCACTGATTTGCATCCTTACCTTTCCAAAAAAAAAAATGCTACTACTCACGTGCTCTATGCACCTTGCATTGAACAATGACTTAACGTCATAAGAACGGTGCCTTACTGCACAATTTTCGTTCTTTCATTCTTTTCTTTTCCACGACGAGCACATGCATGTTGATGTTTTATTTCTCTGGGCTCTGACGCTTAGAGTTCGACAAAGCCCGTAGATGCCTGCAATGAAATCTAGGGGTAGTGATTAAAGCGATGGCATTTGAACATGTGCTGGCAAGAAGGAATTTGTCAGGGCGCAACAGCTCCCTCGATTCCATAGATTTATCACAGACGCTGGCGGGTTACCTTCGTTTGTGTACTCTTCTATGGATATAAGGCTAAAAAATAATCACAGATTTAATAATACCATCTCAAGACACTGAAATGAGAAATCTAGATGAAGTTACCCAACTCTACCCTTGAAATGCGAGCTACCAGCAGTAAGTGTGTAGCTGAAGACGTTTGCAGTTGCATCACCAATAATAATAATTTTTGAATAAAAAAATATAAGAAATATTATGCCAAAGGGCAGACTTTCTAAATAATAATAATAATAATAATAATAATAATGTTAACAGAGGAGACACGGCTGAGACTAAATTGGGAGCAGTTTTTGGAGCAGAAGAACCTTGCTTCGAAGCAGTCAGCGGCATTTAATATGTAGTCTTGGGAGCTTGAAAATACAAATTTTAGCAACATGGGGGCCCCAGTGCGTATTTTAATTGGTTATAATAGACATAACACTGAATAAATTTTGAAGGAAATTTTTAAACAGATTATCGCTAGGTATGAACTGCACTACCTTTTTACATACGTGACCTATCTAGCTCTCGTAACGAGCATGTGTAATATTATAAAAAAAAAGTTTCGCTGAAAACTACGTTCTCTGGAAACATTAAAAAAAAAAAGCACAACACTCAATAAGAAATTCAAAAACTGTGATTACACAAGAATCTTTGTAACAGAACTATAGCCCTTTGCTAACATAATAGTGTCATGGGCTTTTAACAGACAACAAAAGTGGATTGCACCATCGCTCGCAGCCACCTTGTGTAGGACCACCTTCAAGAGTGAACCGTGGGAGCCGAGAAACCTCGCCACACAGATTATTTCGTAAATCGCACGCATATGGCACTAAACTATAAGCCATAAGGGATACTATAAGCGAAAAGAGATAAGGGATACTGATGCCACCTCTCCACGCGAGCAATCACGCAATGGCACACGTGGACCAGTTTTTTCTTTAATAGTATAGGTCATCACCGCCAATGCAGAACTTCCGATAATACATTGACTTGCTATTGCCACCCCTGCTGCGACTCGCGTAAAACCTAGGAAATGAAAATACAAGGATAATGAAAAAAGGTGAGAAAAGACAGACAGGTGTCAAGTTACCAACTGTTTATTACCGGTGCAGGCTGAAAACAGGTAAACTTCCGCCCATGCGCATTGAGTGAATGAGCCACCACAGACATGTCATGTGAGCAGCTGATTAAAAAAGGACAACTTAAATTGATAGAGTACAATGAACGTGTCACTGACACAAGCCGACCACTTACTTCTAATATATTAAGCCTTTAGGAGTTCCCTTGCTATTTGGCGGCTGCTTTTGCAGATAATGCTAGCTTGCTAAAACCTTGGCACAGACGTGGACACGACGTGTGCAGGAAGATGCGCACCATCACTCTTGCCAATACTATCGACATGCTCCCTGAGGCGACAGCTCAGGGGAATTTCAGAAGCAACACCTTCGGCACACCACACCCTTGCTGCTTGGCAGATTCGTGGCCACAAGTGTGCGAATTTATTCAGGGCGGAAAACACAACAGGAATCGCAAACCTAGTGGCCACCTTCTTGAGGTTATGGCTCAGCTTGTGTAAATGAGGCACGACCAGTGGTTTAGCATGCCCTCTTTCTCTCAAGTGCTCTTCCTGAGTGCTGGTATTCAGCTCCCGTAAAAAAGATCCGGCAACAGTGTGCAAGGCCATCGAG